GAGGCGCTGTATTAAAGGGTCACAGCATTTGGAAGGTTGAGAACACTGCTCTAGGAGAGTGGCTGCTGTCTAAAATTTTTCTGTCTAACTAGGTTATTGGTCTTCTGGTTGTTTGGCTCGAGAGACCATACTTTTGTAGAGGCCCTAAAAGTTCGTGACCATTGGTGTCTGTGGCATGCCAAGTGGTTGGGGCAAATGTCACAAAGCCCTGTCCCTAGATTAATAGGTACAGTTAATTAATGGCTGCTGAGAGGGAGGGAACCAGTGTTCTCCAGGAGGGATGCCCCTGATAGTTATCCAACCCCAAGTGGCCAGCTACATGTGTGAGCGATACTAAATGAACTCAGCAGATTGTAGTATAACTTTATTTGTGTGTGTGTATCAGTAATAATTAAGTATGTGTGTGTGTCAGTGGTGTTTAAGTGTGTGTGTCTATCACTAATAATTAAAGAAAATGAGGCCATAAATTTGAAAAAGATTCAGGAGCATGGGAGAAATTAGAGGGAGAATGGGGGAAAGGATAGTACCTATATATGAAGTTCCCCAAACCGGTAAGTTTTTAAAAAGAATATGATAGCTTGACTTAGAGGTAATTTCTGTTATTAACTTAGCTGGTTCTTTACTCACTTTGGTGTAATTTTTTAATTCAGATACATCTAAAGACAGCAAAACTTCATTTCCTTTCAGAATTTTGTATTTTCATCTTTCTTTTGAAGTATTTCTAAGAACCCTTTCATATAAGTAGCCCATAGTACATTTGTACATTTTAAGTTGAGTCTATTCACATCATCTTATTGTGGCGTTGAATTTAATATTTGGCTTCCACATTATTCTTTAGTGTTTTCACATTTCTATTTTTAAGAAGTGCGTAATTCCTTGATCTATCTGGAATTCACTTTGGCATTCCTTTGGTAGGGCTTTAGTTTAGGTCCATTTAATCCCACCCATCCCCCACCAGTGTTCACTTTTCCTTGTATGTTACTTGGCATTTCTAGGTGTCGTGATTTGTTCCCTCTCTTCTGACACTAAAGCCATATATGCAGGTATTGTAGACAGTTAGCAGAATTTACTGTTACATTATGTGCTTAATTAATATAAATGTTGATTAACTTCCTCTTCTCCCCTTTATATTGTGTTCTTTTTGATCATATCATTTGTAATATTTTATGTTTAATCAGTATTTCCATGCTTATCTTTAACCCAATTTTTTTAAAGTATGGCTTTTGGGGGGATTTTGTTTGTTGTTGTGTTTTTTGTTTGTTGTTGTTTTTTGAGACAGGGTTTCAATGTGTAGCCCTGGCTCTCTGGATGTGCTTTGTAGACCAGGTTGGCCCCAAACTCACAGATATCCGAGTGCCTCTGCCTCCCTGAGTGCTGGGATTACAGGTGTGCACCACTGTGCCTGGCTTAAAATGAAGGACACAGCTATTAGGAATTTTTACTTAATTTGAAACAGGAAAATCCTTAAGAATCTTACAGAAACATGAATTAATGTGCTTTGTATAAATTTATCATGTGCTTGAACTGTTGAACCCAAGTGAGCTTTTGTCTTTAGGATTTAATAATAATGAGAATATGATCTACTGATTCACACTAGCATATAACCATATGCTAATGCTAATTTATTTATGAAGTTGCTCTGTTTTCATTTTGCCTTTTTTCTTCATTTTTTAAATGTTGCTTTATAATTTCAGTGTTATATGCATTTAAAAAAAATCTATACCAATGTGTGTGATAGAACTTTATCTCTGACTGCACAGAACACTTACTCAAATAGTACAGTATTCTTCAACTGCCACCTTACTTTACCAACTATTTTTCCTTTTTTCTTTTTCTTTCTCTCTCTCTCTCTCTCTCTCTCTCTCTCTCTCTGTGTGTGTGTGTGTGTGTGTGTGTGTGTGTGTGTGTGTGTGTGTTTGTTTGACATAGTGTCTCTCATCATATAGCATCCAGGTCATTCTTGGATCTTTTGGCTTTAGCTTTCTGCTGCTAGGATTACAGATGTGCCTGCCTGCATGTCTGGCTGCCAGTTCCTCATTGTTGGACACGTATCTGTAGCAGTTACAGAGAAAGTGGGAATACACAAGGAATGGGACATATGGAGATGTTTGAGGGTTAGAGGGAGATGTTTGAGGGTTGCTCTACGTGGAGCACGATAGTGAATTTACAGCAAATTACACAAAGCTAAAATACACTTTGGAACTGAGATAAAGCTGGCTTAACGTGTTAGCTCAGTTTCCCCTGAGAAGACAACAGTGCATAGTCCAGGGTGAGATTTTTCCCGTCTTTTTTTGATGGCTGTAATTCTATTGCTTCTGTTTTACAGTGCAGATCTTTACTTGTGTTCACATAGGTTAAATGTTCCCACCTATGGTTCGGGGAACCAGAAATGTTCAGATCTCATTTTCTGGATGTGAATACATATGTAGACTTGAAGTTAAGCATCTCTCATCAAGGCTCCAGAACCTGAAATGTTTTACCACTGTGTTGTTTACATTTCTCTCTATTCTGCTTTTTTCTTTTGCTGATGTTATTCATCTGTTCTTTTTGTGTTTCGCTGATATTTTGTTGCAGTCAAATTTTTCTCATTTCCTATCAAATTTATCTTTCCTCTCTATTTTGGCATCTGCAGTGTATAGCCCAGGTTCTTACCTGTATGTTGCCACTGCATTTCATTACTGACTTCCATTGCAAATTATGGTATCAACATTTTATATTACTCCTTTGCTTGTTTATTAAAGCCATTCTCACTTAAAATCCAGGCTTTTCATCCTAAACACTTAGCTCAGTTGCCTTGCTGTTAATCCTATCTAAGCTCACACAATACTGAAATGGTATTGCTGACTGGACTACACGGATCTCCCACAGTTCTAATCGTACATCTTGGTCTCTGTAATTCTTTTCATTTTTTTCATCCTGTGAATACCTTATCCTTCTTTAAAGGCAGATCTGCATCAGACCGTGCTCCCAGCACAGTCTTCTGTTTCTACATCTCTTTAACACGGACATTGTGATGAACCATCATGAATGTAACTTGCATGTCAAACTGTAACTTTACCATTTGTCTTCCTCATTTTAGGTAATAAATTCCTAAAGGGTAATGTTGTTTGCCCCTGTCCTCCTCTTCTGTATGGTCCTTCTACTTATGTTCATCGCCTTTGTGCACTTCCTTTTATCTTGTAGTTTCTGTACTTGTATCAAAAGTACCCTGTAGCACAGAAGGAAGAAGTATATGTTCAGTACTTTGTGACCCCTATGCCCAGCAAGTGGCATATAACACTGGCTCACACTCCGTGAAAACAGCCTCTCAGTCCTAACCAGCTGGGAAGTGAGAGCTCCAGAGCATCCCTCGGTAGCTCAGGGCATAATGGGACTGTTTTCGTGGATGACTAGAATCCTTGAGATTTTGCCAATAGAATATAAGTTTAACTGTGCTAAAGAATTGATTAATTAATTCCTAGGACTTTGAAATGATAAGATTCTTAGCCATAGTTTTGAGAGTTTTCTCAAATAATTTGTTTTTTTAAAGAGGTATGATAATGTAAGTGTCCTTTAAATTTTTTATTTTATTTTTTAAATATTAGTTAAAGTTTATTAACTTTGTATCCTTCTCCCTATTCCCTCCCAATCCCATTGTCCCTCCCTCATCTCCTCCCTGCCCCTTTCCAAGTCCACAGATAGGGGAGGCCCTCCTCCCCTTCCATCTGACCCTAGCTTATCAGGTTTCATCAGGACTGGCTGCATTGTCCACCTCTGTGGCCTACCAAGGCTGCTTCTCCCTCGGGGGAGGGAGAAGATCAAAGAGCCAGCCATTGAGTTCATATCAGAAATAATCCCTGTTCCCCTTACTAGGGAACACACATGGATGCTGAGCTACCATGGGCTACATGTGAGCAGGGGTTCAAGGTTATATCCATACATAGTCTTTGGTTGGAAATACAGTCTCATAAAAGACCCCTGTGCTCAGATAACTTGTTTTCCATGTTAAACCCCTTCCAAGTGTCTCTAATTTCTTCATTACTAGATTTTTTTATCTGAATATATTTTGTGTTTTATTAGACTTTATTAAAAGAAACAGGGCTGATTTCCTCTGATTATGTTTACTAGCAAATGATTATGAACATCATATTTTGTAGCTAGATTATTACCTCTATTAGCTTTATTATTATCTATGCTTTATATTTCCCCTCTACTTTCTCTTATGCTGGTTTTATCAGTGATGAATTTAGTCTACTCAAGGTAGATGAAGTAACTTAGCTAGTAAAGGCACTTGCTGCCAGGTATTATGACCTGAGTTAGAGCCTTGGAACCCACATGGTAGAAGAGCTGACTCCCACAAGTTGTCCCCTGACCTCCATATGTGTGTACATAATCACACACACACACACACAGTTTTAAAATATAATTTAAATGTAAAATTAAAAAGAGTTCTAATTTCTTCTGATGTTTTTTCTTTTGCTTATCATAGCATAGGGCTTATAAAATAAAAGAGAACTTAGTCATTTCTTGCTTGGATCAGGGAAGTAAAGAAAGAAGCAACAGACTGAAATAAAGCAGTGGTCAGGAAATTACTTATCTGTCTTCACTGGAAGTGAGTAAATAATTCAAGATACAACAGAACAGAAGCTAAGTAAAAGTAACAAGTTAGTTCCCCCTTTGTTTAGCCATGAGGTTATTAATATAAATTAAATTCATTAGCAGTTCTAAAATGAGTTTTTCCTGTAATCATTAATCTGCTTTAAATATTTGAAATACTTTTACTTCCTAATGGCTATATTTTTCAACAATTATATCTTTAAGGTCATTAATAGGGTTATATTTTGTGTGTATGCTTGAAATTTTTTTAAACAAGTGAACTTAAAACATTTTTCTAAACAAACAAAATATATTAATTGTAAATAAGAAATTATTGTAGCCTATGATCCTGGTTATCAGTTTTAATATTTGTTAGCTGTAATCCAAAAAATCTGAATTTATACCATTTAACTTTGTCTTTTTAGCATCCTTTCATCAAGAATGCAAAACCTGTCTCAATATTAAGAGACCTGATCACAGAAGCCATGGAAATCAAAGCCAAAAGGCATGAAGAGCAGCAACGGGAACTAGAAGAGGAGGAGGAAAATTCGGTTCGTAATTAGTCTCAGAAAGTGGATATTTTAAATCATCTCAGTCATTTTTAAATAATTTTATTTTTTTCTTACAATCTATTGCTACTACTTACTAATTCACTACACAAGTGAGGCATGTAGTAAAACCCTTGAAATATTTCTTTTGCTTTCCCTTTCTGGTGAGAGTCAGTGTTTAGTGCAATGTTGAGTTGATGCAGCAGGACTTTACAGAACCTTCATACCTTGGATTTGGATGGTTTTTATCTTATCATCTGGGACTTTCCTTTAACTGGTGACCAACTATGCAAACAGCAAGTGACTATATGGAGAAATGCATCCTTTATTCATTGAATGTAAAATGCTTCACATTCTATGTAAAACAGTTGGTGTTTTCCTAAAATATCACACATAGAAATAGATGGTTCTGTTCTAGTCCTACATCCATACAAATTGTCAGTGCTGAACTGTTGCAGCCAGAACTATTATGGTCAGCGCGTGGGCTCCTGCAGCTCCAGCAAGGTGGACGATTTGGCTGCCTATCTCTATAGACCATGTAAGTGATATTAAAAAGCTGAGAGAGGAATTTGATTCAGAGTGACCACACTGGGAAGAACAAATAAAGAGTTCCAGGAAGCACCTCTCCTCCCACAAGCCCATATTCAGAGTCCTGACATCAAGCTTATTTTTGAATAGAGAGTAGAGGTACCATACCTTAGCACTGTTGGTAGGGTGTAGTCGAGCCTGTCAGTGTCTGTGCTTCAGTCTATCCTGACGAGTTGTCAGAAAAATGTAAAATCTCTACGTGGGAGACAGGTTCCTATCCTGGCTTGGACTGTCAGCCACTCCTTCTCCTTACATGATATTACTGAGGAAATTCTAGTTTTTGCAAAGGCATTTTTGTTGTTTAAATATGCTAATTTATCTGTGGCACTCAAGATGTAGAATATGTAATTTGTAGCTTACTAATCAGGGTACAGGTACTATTCGTTGCATATATTATTTAAACTAATCAGTTGATGATTTTTCAAAAACAAGTCTGTGTGCTTGTGCTTGTTTGTGCGTGCTTGTACATACACATGAGCTTATGTTAGTGCACATGCAAGAACACTTCCCCTGGCAAGGGGAGTGAAACAAGAAGAAGTTTTGCAGGAGTTGGTTCTCTTGTTTCACTGTGGGTCCCAGGAATGGAACTCAGGTCATCAGGCTTGGCAGCATGTGTCTTTACACAAGTTGGTATGCTTTATTTAAATATTACACAGGGAGTTTGTGTGCGAGGGTACAGGGGTATGTTTGCCTGTCCTTATGCATTGGAAGAACGCACTATATGGGCGACCATTCTATACATAGTTTTTGTGTTAACTGAAAAGAAAGGTGCTAACACATTGCATTTACAAGGTAAAGCATAGATTGCACCACTGAGAACTGTTTGATTTTAGAAGTGGGTTAGAAGATTGATAACTAATCTGTCCCTGCAGTGTTGCATAAGACATTTAATATTTACTATTGATATATCTTTTACTGAAGCTGCAGTTAATCCTAAGCCAGCTCTATACCCAAATCACCACACAGAGACTGGGATTTATTTAATTAACCTAGATCACAATGCTTGGCAATAGTTATTCCATCCTAAACCTCCAAGCCCACGTAGTTTCCTACCATTCAGATTTTACATTTATACTCGCTTTTAGTGATATCTTAGGTCCAATCCATTTCTCCACCTCATTCCAAGACCTCTCCTCCAGCCTTCCTCTCCCAGCTTTTCCCCTCTCCCAGCTCCTGCTCCTCCCTCTCCATAGCTCAACATTGTGGCTGGTTGTTTTATTTTTTTGGCATGTTTACACAAAGTTGAGACAGCTGATGGCCTAGAATAAGTATCACAATGCAATGTCGGGATTGAAAGCAGAGAGTGGGGGAGAGAAATCAGCATTTGAATGAACAAGGATAAGGAATATACCTTCCACAAGAGCATCATAGCAACACTGCAGCCTAGGTATTTCCTTTCTCATAGTGCTAACTGAAGAACTTAAGGAATTGAATGGATAGAAAATGTTAGGTTAAGTGAAATGGTGTACAAAGCCTACAAATACTTCTTTATGTTAAGTTTGCACAAAATCTTTTTGTCTTTATGCAGGTATCAAATTGCTTACTTCCACTTTCAGCTAAATAAAAACACTGCTTTATGTATCTCAGAAAAGGTTGTTTTAATGGTTCTGAGACTTTGTAAAAGCAATGGAAGCTTTCTGGTAGCTTGTTTAGCTCTAAACTACTTTCCTGGGTGTGATCAGCAAAGCATATGTTTGCACATCCACTTAGAGAATGGCCTCTTTCCTGTGAATACCATCACTCTTAACACCATGGCCAGGGGTTAATTTTGTTGGTCTTAGTTTTTTTCTGCTGCTTATTTTGCTGCCTTAGTCCCCCAAATGAGAGTGCTTGCTAACAAACTCAGCATTTGAAGACACATTTCATGTGGCCAAGTGTGTTTGTGGAAGTTTTTGTTTGTTTGTTTAATTTATTTTTTTATTTTAATCACAGGTCATTCACTTGTATCCCAACCATAGCCCCCTCCCTTTTTCCCTCCTAATTCCACCCTCCCTCCCTCATCTCCTCCCTGCACCCTTCCAAGTCCACTGATAGGAGAGGACCTCCTCCCCTTCTATCTGGCCCTAGCTTATCAGGTCTCTTCAGGACTGGCTGTCCTGTCCTCCTCTCTGGCCTAGCAAGGCTGCTCCTCACTCGGGGTGGGGTAGGGGGGGATCGAAGAGCCAGCCATTGAGTTCATGTCAGAAATAATCCTTGTCCCCCTAACTAGGGTACCCACTTGGATATGAGCTACCATGGGCTACATTGAGCAGGGGTTCTAGGTTATATCCATACATGGCCCTTGGTTGGAGAAACAGTCTCATAGAAGATCCCTGTACCCTGATATATTTGATCCTTGTGGAGCTCCTATCCCCTCTAGGTCATACTAACTCCCACTTCTTCACTCTGCTGAAGGTTTGGTTATGAGTCTCAGCATCTGCTTTGATACACTGCTAGGTAGAGTCTTTCAGAGGCCCTCTGTGGTAGGCTCCTGTCCTGTTACTTGTTTTCTCCTACATCTAATGTCCATCCCATTTGTCATTCTAAGTGAGGGTTGATCATCTTACACTGGGTCTTCTTTCTTGTTTATCTTCTTTAGGTATATAGATTTCATTATGTTTATCATATCTTATATGTCTATATGAGTGAGTATATACCATGTGTGTCTTTCTGCTTTTGGGATACCTCACTCAGGATGATCTTTTCTAGATCCCACCATTTGCCTGCAAATTTCATGATTTCCTCGTTTTTGATTGCTGAGCAGTATTCCATTGTGTAAAAATACCACAATTTCTGTATCCATTCCTTCATTGAGGGACATCTGGGTTGTTTCCCAGGTTCTGGCTATTACAAATAAAGCTGCTACAAACATGGTTGAACAAATGTCCTTGTTGTATACTTGAACATCTTTTGGATATATGCCTAGGAGTGGTGTAGCTGGATCTTGAGGTAGCAGTATACCTGATTGTCTGAGAAAGTGCCAAAGTGGTTGTACAAGTTTACATTCCCACCAGCAATAGAAGAGGGTTCCCCTTTCTTCACATCCTCTCCAGCATGTGTTGTCACTTGAGTTTTTGGTCTTGGCCATTCTGATGGGTGTAAGGTGAAACCTCAGGGTTGTTTTGATTTGCATCTCTCTGACGACTAAGGAGGTTGGACATTTCCTTAAGTGTTTCTCTGCCATTCAATATTCCTCTATTGAGAATTCTGTGGTTAGCCCTGTACCCCAGTTTTTAAATTTGATTACTTGGTTTGTTGGTGTTTAACTTCTTGAGTTCTTTATATATTCTGGATATCAGATATAGGCTTGGGAAGATCCTTTCCCAATCTGTGGCTGTCGTTTTGTTCTGTTGACAGTGTCCTTTGCTTGACAGGAGCTTTTCAGTTTCATGAGGTCCCATTTATTGATTGATTATTGATCTTATAGCTTGTGATGTTGGTGTTCTGTTCAGGAAGTTGTTTCCTGTGCCAATGAGTTCAAGGCTCTTCCTCACTTTTTCTTCTAACAGATTTAGTGTGTTGGTTTTTATATTGAGGTCCCACTGAAATCAGGGACAAGGCAAGGCTGCCCACTCTCTCCATATCTCTTTAACATAGTACTTGAAGTCCTTGCTAGAGCAATATGACAGTTAAAGGAGATCAAGGGGATTCAGTTTGGAATGGAAGAAGTTAAAGTATTACTATTTGCAGTTGATGTGATAGTATACATGATTGACCCCAAAAATTCTACCAGGGAACTCCTACAGCTGAGAAGCACCTTCAGCAAAGTGGCCGGATACAAAATCAACTCAAAAAAATCAGTAGCTCTCCCATATACAGAAGAGAAAAGGCGTAAGAAAGAAATTAGGGAAACAACACCCTTCACAATAGCCACGAAGAACATAAAGTACGTTGGTGTAGCTCTAACCAAGGAAGTTAAAGACTTGTATGAAATAAAAAAAACTTCAGTCTCTAAAGAAAGAAATAGAAGAGGATACCAGAAGATAGAAAAATCTCCCATGCTCATGGCTTGGCAGGGTTAACATAGTAAACATGGCCATCTTACCAAAAGCAATCTACAGATTCAATGCAGTTCCCATCAAATTGCCAAGACAATTCTTTATAGACCTGGAAAGAAAAATTCTCAACTTCAGAGAAACTCAAAATCACTAAAATAATCCTGTACAATGAAAGATCTTCTGGAGGTATCCCCATCCCTGATGTCAAGCTGTACTATAGAGCAACAGTAATAAAAACTGCATGGTACTGGCATAGAAACAGAGTGGTGGATCAGTGGAATCAAATAGAAGAGCCAGAAATAAACCCACACACTTATGGACACCTGATTTTTGACAAAGATGCCAAAACCATACAGCGGAAAAATGACAGCATCTTCAACGAATGGTGCTGGACTAACTGGATGTCTACCTGTAGAAAAATGCAAATTGATCCATACT